CTGTGAAGAAATTATGAATCAGATTTCGTGTTTGTAATGCTTCCAAGGAGTGTAAAATAGTAACCGTTCAGAGAATTTGGTTTTTTCAACTACTTTCTTAAGAGATGTTAGTGATACGAATCAGGAGAGATTTAAAAAAAAAAAAAAAGTGGAAGTCTTTGGAAAGAGCAAGTCTTAATTCTTTTGTTCTTTAAACTGAAATAATACAATTCCTGTTTGTCTTGGGTAATGTTAGGTGATTGTGATGCTGAAAACTGTACTTAATACACTTCCTTTAACTATGAAAAACGGTGGAGGAAGTGTTAAATGAGGAACTGAGGTAGCTGATCTTCAGGGCTAGGGAACAGAGGGAAGTTATTTTAGAGGAAGGAAGGCAGGGAATTTTCAAGTCCTGTAGCTACTCTAGAGTAGTTGCCTGTGTGATCAACTATTTCAGAGTAAGATTGTGTGTGGAGGAAGTCAATATAGCCCACATCCCTGCTGGACAGATTAATGTGATTTCCAAATGTCATATAATCTCTGTTTCAGTCTGACCATGTGGGTTTCTGCTGAGGTTTCAGCCTGTTGATCAAATTGTTCTGTTTCTTTCCTCAAACATTCTCTCTTAGGAAAATGTTCTGATGTGTGGCTAAACTTGTTAAACAAGAAAGAAAGAGACAAAAAGAAAACTCCTGGCAGAGTGTAATAAGTCTTGGAGCAAATGATAATCTTGAGTCTTATACCAGGATATTTGCAATCTCTTTGCAGCTATTTTTTTACACAGCTTCTCATTTACTCTATACTATTCTGTAAGATTATTCCCCCAGCAATCTGGAATAGTGCTTCTGTACCAGACTGCACTTGCAGCTCCTGCAACATGTTTTCATTAAACTATAAAGGAGGAACTACTTTCTCCCATAACAGTATGTATACTTATTTTGTATCTGATTGTTCATTTCTGAGAGTAACGAAATGGTGCTGAATGCCTCTATACCTTTCACTGTTTCTGTGCTTTTTCTGTAATGAGTTGTACTGGGCCTAGCTAGGCTAGAACTAATCTTCATAGCAGCTCATATCATGCTGTCCTTTAGCTTTTGGGCCGAATCAGTGCTGGTAACACAGCAGTGTTCTAACTTTGCTGAGCAGTGTTTGCTGCCCCCCCCCGTAGCTCCTCTCGTCTATATTAGGGTGAACACATTCATTTTCTTCAACTCTTTCTGCCTAGGTCATGCTCTGGAGATCGCTTCCTGATCATTTTACTTCCTGTGGCTTTTCAGGATTTTGGTTAGAGGGTGGTATCTCAAAAAAATGAGGCCTTCCAGGTGCAGCACTTGCAATACCTTATGAAGCTGTGTCCTTCCTCTATTATGACTGTATTTATTAATATAGGGAAATAGAGCCTGACAACTAGAACGTCACATCTCTGTAGGGCCTGTTGCTAGGTTTGTTTCTCTGTATTATCCAGTAAAACACTATGAAAGTCTGTGTGACAAGTGAAAATACCTCGCCTCCAGGTTGTGTGGCAGCGTGATGAATCTTTTCAGTGGGAATACATAAACTTACATTCCCTTTGTGTAGCTATATTAATTTCCTTAAAATAACACAGATAATAATCTGTTGTGATTGAAAGTACTTGAAGGCTTCACACCAGAACTTAAAATTCTACATGGTTATTCCTGGAGATGAATTTACTGGAGCAGTTAACTGCACTGTGGCAGTAGATGTGTGAATTGGTTAAGCTGCAGCAGTCACTTGTTTCAACAACTACTCTGAAAATCAAAGTCTTCCTGGACTTTCAAGTTAGTCTGACTCACTCTTTACTGCTGCTGAGTTGGACACATGAAATGAAAGGTGCTGGGCTTGTTTTTCTGCTGAGACTTTAAAAAGTGAAAATGAGAAGATTTATTGATACATTTGGCCAGAATTGTTAGGTACAAGCATTTCTTGTTTTGTAGCGTGCGACTCGCTAATACCACTTTCTGCATGTGGAGGTGTTGCTGTGTAACCTCTGAACACCTGAAACTTGAAAGAAATACTGCAGATACGCCCAAATCCTATCTCCCTTTTTTTTAAAATCTGTTTGTCTACAAGTGATTTTTAACTCTGCTCCTTTCTGAGTGCCCTCAAGCACTAAGAAGGTCTGTGCCATGTCTTTCTCATTATTTTGTAGCCCTCTGGACTTAGAACAGTGTTCCCTCAAAGTGCTGGAGCCAGAAGGAAGTCCTAGCTGGAGTCTCCTGAAGCTGCTGGGGGATCGTGGCTGCACTGTGGTGGAGCTCGTGGAGTTCTTGCAGGCCCTGGAGCACACAGAGGCTCTCCAGTGTCTCAGCCATTCAGGTCAGTTCTGGTTTGTGCCTTCACTGCAACAGTGTGTTTTACACTGGAAACACTGAAGTATTTGTGTTCTACAGTATGTAAAAAACATCTTTAGTGTTTGAATTCTAGTAACTGGTATTCATGTATTCTGAGATTAAATAAGGCAAGTAGATAAACTAGCTGAACACAGTGTCATTGTAACTTGGCTGCATGGATGTGGCAGGTGCTGTCATTCCTCTGCTGACTTGGGTTCTGTGTCAGCCTGTGCCTTCGGGAGATGCTTATAGAACCGAAATGGTTGAGTTAGAATGACAAGTAGTGTTGCCAGCCATCTGTTCGGGCTCCAGGTTTCATTAACTGCATTTCACAGTTTACCCTAATGGAAAGGGAAGGGTCCAATTAGTGCTGGTTCTGGTGCACTGGGATGCAGTCCAACTTACTAATTGGACAGAAAAATAGACTGCCTTAAGATGTAACTGGATTATTTTCTACTAACCCATTCAGCTTGCTTCTTCACAAAAAGCCTAGGAAGTAGGGCAACAAAAGGGAATGCACAGGTAAAACCATGTAGACCAAGTGCTTCTTGCTATAGTACAAAACCAGGGCTCTTTTTCATGTCCTCCTGAAGGATGTGATGAAGTTCAGCCTACTAGGAAGTTACAAAAGCTTCTCCCCAAGAGTAGCAAGTGGAAATGAGGCTAGTGAGCCCCTTGCCATACTGACAACTGTCCTGTTCTTTGGACAGTGTGAGGAAAGAAGCTGTGGGCTGAGAACAATTGTTAAGACAACCTTGGAATTTTTCAAGTAAATTATAGTAATGCTTTGCAGCTGTTTCATCTAGTTAAGGCTGCTGCTTCTTAGTGTACTAGGAGGACCACAGCATGCTGAATGAGGTGTGATTGAGGTACATGATAGTTTAGTCTGGCTGAAATATGGCACTGTAGGCTTGGTGGGGAGAGGGGTGTTGGTGTTAGCTCAGTGTGAGTGTCTTGCACTCATGGGGCAAGAGTTGGGGTGGGGGCACAAGCAGTACTAGGCTTTCCTGCACTATTATTCCTTTTTATTATTCTCCGTATGGTGGTTGTTGAGGGAGTACTGAAAACAAAGTGGTTCATGTTGGGCCTGCACTGAGCCAGAATGTTGCACTTGCTTGGTCTGTGATCATCTCAAGTATTACCACCGCTGGACTGAGGATTTTTGTGTGGCTGTCAGTCAAGTTACATTCTGAAAACGTAACAAAGACTAAATCCTGGGTAAAACAGGAACTTGCTACATAGCAGAATTGTGAGATAGTGGTATCCGTTAGGGAACTGGATAGAGAGCTAAGATATCCTTGTGTTGAGGGGAGCAAGCCAATAAGGAGACTTTTGTCAAGACCCCTTGGAACTGCAGAGATGGTCTTGTTGTGAATGACTCTTGCAGAACAGTATGACCTGTGATAGAATGGATTCAGCCTCCTCTAAGGAGGACTGGGTACCCTTGCAGAGACTGAGAAACCAAAACAAAGGGTATTTGAAGAAAGTATAGGTCAATAAGAATTTTAAAACATTTAGGAAAAAAGCAGTAGGCTTTGATATTTGCGGTGTGTTTATTTAAATGTTCAGAGGTGGCTGATGTTTGAAGTCAAAAGTACAAACTTGTAACTGCCCGTTTTTTCTAATACACCAGAAAAGGCTTGTGTTGCACAAGTTCCTTTAGGAATGGGACTGTTTAATGTAGGACCTCTGTAGCTGTCTCACTGGTTTCTACCAGCCTAGCTGATGCAGCTAAAAAGACAAGAACCTTTGTGAGCCTGTGAGTGTACTGGTTAGCGAGCGTACAGTTTCCATGATGCTTCGTGGTCTGTTTTGACAGCGATACCACCTCAAGTACCTTTACAGCAGAGATGTATTGTTACGAGGTGGGATATCGCTTTGTTTGCAGCAATACAAAGGATCCCTCTGAGAATTAGACTTGTCTGTCTCTTAGACTTGCCTGTCACGTTGGATTAACTCTGTAGATCTTCCTCCTATAAAGACACAAGTGGTACTAATAATCACTTTAAAGCATCTCCTTTTTGGTAGAGAGAAAGCCTAGGCATCTTGTTCCTTGGGTCACCTCTGTCCCTTCCCTTTTTTTATCTTGTCATGTTGTGAACTTGCTGGATATGAATGAAACGCTAAGAGCTTACTCCCAGGCTAAGAAGGAAACCAGGCTTAAGATGCAATCTGTGGTTTTACAGTCTAGTCCTCACTGTGCAGCCTCACTGACTTGTGGTGGTTGAAATGGGAGAGAAGAGGTGGTTTTCCTTGCAAGCAGGTCTTCTACTGCAGCAGTTTAGGCACTTCAGTCTGTGAGTAATTGAGGCAGAGTTTCCAGAAATTACTGAAAATGTTTGCCGGTGGGTAAACTAAGAATGTAACAGTTGGATTATAGTTAATTTGCACTGCATGTTTCAAAGTCTGGTAACCCTAAGTGTTGGTTTGCCATCCTCAGTGGTAAAACTCAAGCTTTGCATTTTCCAATGAAATTCAAAGAAGCATTTGTGTATCTTTGTAATCATTCAGGAAACTGAGCCAGAAGATTTTCTTTTTGAACCATTAAATTCTGTGATGCTTGCAGGAAGTAGCTGTATAGTGCTGAATGAATTTCAGGAAAAAAAAAATGAAACTGTGAAGAAATTATGAATCAGATTTCGTGTTTGTAATGCTTCCAAGGAGTGTAAAATAGTAACCGTTCAGAGAATTTGGTTTTTTCAACTACTTTCTTAAGAGATGTTAGTGATACGAATCAGGAGAGATTTAAAAAAAAAAAAAAAAGTGGAAGTCTTTGGAAAGAGCAAGTCTTAATTCTTTTGTTCTTTAAACTGAAATAATACAATTCCTGTTTGTCTTGGGTAATGTTAGGTGATTGTGATGCTGAAAACTGTACTTAATACACTTCCTTTAACTATGAAAAACGGTGGAGGAAGTGTTAAATGAGGAACTGAGGTAGCTGATCTTCAGGGCTAGGGAACAGAGGGAAGTTATTTTAGAGGAAGGAAGGCAGGGAATTTTCAAGTCCTGTAGCTACTCTAGAGTAGTTGCCTGTGTGATCAACTATTTCAGAGTAAGATTGTGTGTGGAGGAAGTCAATATAGCCCACATCCCTGCTGGACAGATTAATGTGATTTCCAAATGTCATATAATCTCTGTTTCAGTCTGACCATGTGGGTTTCTGCTGAGGTTTCAGCCTGTTGATCAAATTGTTCTGTTTCTTTCCTCAAACATTCTCTCTTAGGAAAATGTTCTGATGTGTGGCTAAACTTGTTAAACAAGAAAGAAAGAGACAAAAAGAAAACTCCTGGCAGAGTGTAATAAGTCTTGGAGCAAATGATAATCTTGAGTCTTATACCAGGATATTTGCAATCTCTTTGCAGCTATTTTTTTACACAGCTTCTCATTTACTCTATACTATTCTGTAAGATTATTCCCCCAGCAATCTGGAATAGTGCTTCTGTACCAGACTGCACTTGCAGCTCCTGCAACATGTTTTCATTAAACTATAAAGGAGGAACTACTTTCTCCCATAACAGTATGTATACTTATTTTGTATCTGATTGTTCATTTCTGAGAGTAACGAAATGGTGCTGAATGCCTCTATACCTTTCACTGTTTCTGTGCTTTTTCTGTAATGAGTTGTACTGGGCCTAGCTAGGCTAGAACTAATCTTCATAGCAGCTCATATCATGCTGTCCTTTAGCTTTTGGGCCGAATCAGTGCTGGTAACACAGCAGTGTTCTAACTTTGCTGAGCAGTGTTTGCACAGCATCAAACCTTTATCTGTTTCTTGTTCTGCCCCCACCCAGTGAATATTTTGGGGGTGTGCAGTAGGCTGGGAGGGGATGCAGTTGGGCAGATGACTTGAACTAACCGAAGAGATATCCCGTATAACCTGATGTTCAGCAGTAAAAGGGAAAAGGGGCAGTTCTGGAGGGCCTCACCATCTTTTGCTTAGGAATTGGCTGGGCATCGGTCCACCCATGGGAGTTGGTGAGTGATTGCCTTTGTGTCACTTGTTTTGTTTTCCTCACTATTCTTTCACTCATCCTTCACCTGTTAATTATTATTTATTTTTGGTTCATTTTATCTTTACCTCCAAGTTTTCTTGTTTTTATTCTTCCATTCTCTTTTTCCCTGTCCCACTGGGGTGGGGGGACTGTGTGGTGCTTATCTGCCCACTAGGGTTAACCCACAACACTCATATTCTACCAACTAGTCATTAACGTGTAGTATTGCTTGTGGTCCCACTGGGGCTGTCAAATACATTTTGCTGTCCATAGTAAATAGTGCTTCAAACAAATGATTTTTTTGATGGCTTATCAGGTCAGTGTTGCTGGACACCTTGGTCGTAGGTCTGTGTGTTTTTTGACAGCAGCATGAGGTTAAACTTTCTGTTCTGCGGTTGGCTTCCCCCCCACACCCCCCTCTTCTGATGACCTTGGTTATACCAGTGGATCTGGTTTTGGGGTCATGCTGTAACAAGATCTCTGGAATGGTCTAGGTTAAGAAAATAACTGGATCATACCAGACTGGTGTCAGAGTTTCACTCATGCTATTTTCTAGCAGTTAAAATTTGAAGTGGAAAATTTTACCTTGCATATTGGCAAAAGACAACCCCAGCCCTGTGTTCTACAGGAGTTGAAGGCATAAAGCTGAAACCAATGTTTTAGCAAATAAGGTTGCATGAGAAATAGTAGAAAAATGCACTATATTTTAGTTAAACAAACCCTTACTGTTTTGATCCTTCCCTCAGGCTGTGCCTAATCTTAATCTGAAGATGAATAACTCAGCTAAGAGTGAACAAACTCTTAAAACTCTCAATACTTTTCCCAGAAGGGATCTGTGATGCCATTGGAAATATTTGCTTTAGTGAGTAGAGAGCAAGAGGGATTGAAGTATCCTAAAATAAAAATACCTGAATTATCTCCTTTAAATCCTCAATACTCTGTAGAGTACTGATCAGTCTGAGCATGGATTTTGTGTAATGGAAGACAATTTTAAATGTCTTGCAGTTCAATTAGTTATATGACTTCATGTATACACAGTACAAATGAGTTTCAGGTATATATAATGACAAAGTTTCTTTGCACAAAAGACAATTTAAGTTGTGGAATTGTATTTCTTAACTTTCCTATGTGTAAATTCCTTTTTAAAGGTATAAAGATTGTTGTACAGCCAGACTCTCAAGCGGTGCTCTCTGGTCAGGTTGTCAAGCTGTGTTGTTGGGCAACAGGACACCCATTTGTGCGTTACCAGTGGTTCAAGCAGGAAAAAGAGGTAATAGTTGATAGAGAATATAGGGTTTTTAAATGGTGAAAATAATAGGTAATGATTTTGGATGATACTTTTAAGACCATTACTCTTCTTTACAATGAGAGAAGATTACTGTATAATAAAACTAGAAGTTTATGAAATGCTACATAATGATCAATGTGCTAAAACAGTGAGGGGGTTCCTTATATTCAGACCACTCTACCCCTGGAAGCTAATCTTGGAAGTAGGGAAATGGTAAGTTTAGTTGTGTCTCAGCCTCCCAAGAAGTTTTGATACAAGCCACTGAGGAACTGCCACACTGGGACAAATGCCGGTCACTTTTGGTCTCAGATGGGTAGAAGCTGGTTTCCTAAGAATGCAGGGTTGGAGGCCCGAACTCGGTGGTGCCACAGATGTCTTCAGTAAAATGCTGGAATGCATGTGAGCTGGTACCTCTGGAGTCTGAATGGCAGCACAAAGGCCCAGATTTCTGGTCCTGGTTATCTTTCTACAAGATAAATGCATTTTTTCTGAATATTATTTTATCCTAGGTATTATTTTTAGAAATGCGATAAGTTCGTGGCATTTAAAATTGCTGTTGGGACTGAAATTTTTAACTGATTTCCTACACCTTTCTAAAAGTTTATCTAGATCATCCAAAACACAGCTTAAAAAAATATTATTATAGTCATGTCCTGCTCATTACATTTAAAATATAGATGTAGTAAATAATGATTTTTCTGTGAAATAATATTACAGTTTCCTGGTTGTAGTTGAATATATTTTAAGATTAGAGCTGAATGTGACACATGCTGGTTGGAATAGTGCTTGAGAAATATAGAGTTATTTGTGGAGAAAGGTAGAAATTATTAATTTCAAGAAGAGCTTTTCAACTGGCTTAAAAGCTCAGAACTGTCTTAAATAGAGGCATATGAATTATTCTTGGAAGAAAGCCTGTCTCTGAGCTACTAAATATGTAGAACAAGACTTTCTCATCCAGAAGTTTCAAGTAAGTGACGGAACTGAGGATGGTGTTACGGACATTGAAATAAATATTCTAATGTTTGGTGCTGGTTTAGATTAAATCAATCTAAATTTAAGTATTTCTTGGTTCACCTGCAATTCAGGTTCCCCATGGTAATTCTCCAGAGCTGGTTTTGAATCCAGTGAGTGTAAACGATTCTGGCTTTTACATCTGTCGAGTGAACAGCGAATCCTCCTTCGTGTTCAGTCGGTGGGCACGGCTTGAAGTTTGCGATCTCCAGGGTACATCTCATGGTGAGTGGCAAAAGAATTTCTTCTGAAAGTCTGCCTTCCCATGTGTGAGAGGAACGTGGGTCCCCGTTGCCGTATTGCACAGCTGTGAAAGAGCGCTGATTGAAAATGCAGTTTCCAATTTCTGGGCTCTTGTGCTGGTCACAAAAGGAGAGGAAGAATGAAGTTCCACAGTGGTGGGTAAGAACAGACAGATGGAAAACATACACAGTGTCAGTGCCTTTTGATTCTTAGAGGATTCTTGGACCAGAAAAACAGTTCTTTAACTCCCTTGTTTATCTAGTTACCTCTTGTGGTAACTTGCTGGTGACTGGACACACAGTCTGTTCTGAGTATCTGCCCCGTGGGCTCTGGCCTCATAGGCAGGACTGTTTGTTTCCCCTCCATCTGTGTGCTGCCTGTCTGAGAAGAAAGGTATTTGGGTAGAGGAGAACCTGATTAGGTTCTCTGCCTTCCTAGAAAGAAGTCCTGCCTTACCCAGGAGGTCAAAACAGTAAACTACAAAAGAGTGCCTGCATGCTGGAGGCCTGGACACTTTAGAAAACACAGATACTGTGGAATGGAAAGAGGGTTCACTGCACTCTGAAGAAATGGGACTGAGGCCTGGAGTGAGGTTTGGCAGGTAGCGAAGTGATAGATCTCCCTGCCAGTCACTTTTTCAGATCACAGTAGGGTATCTCAATCTTAAATATGTACCTGTCAGGAAAGATAAACTGGTCAAAGCCCAGCATGTTCGTTCTTTGCCAGAACACCTGGGTAAGAGAGAGGGAGGCTAGGGCTCTGTGGCTGTTCTGTGGCAGAATGTATGTTTGCTAATGCAATCTTTTCAACTTCATATAGCCAACCCAAATAAGAGCGATGGCATGCCAACATTTAAAGAAATAAACCTATGAGAGGAAGAAACATGAGTTAAACTGAGTCTCTTTGGTGTGAATTGCATCTTCACGTGTTTTTGAAATGGTCAGTGAACAGTCGAGCGTGTTACCTGCATAAGACAAGGCATAGCCGTTCTGCTGTGCCACGTAGGGCCGTAGGAGCTTGTGGCACTGTCTTGAAGATAACTCAGCTGCAGCGATGGGCTGATCTGCAGCTGCAGCATACGTGATGAAAGTGTGGGTGTGGAGGAAGCATGAGGAAAATGGAATAATAGCAAAGCAAATCAGAGTAAATAGCTGTCTGCTCAAGAGTGTCCAGCTGGGACTGGGATTTGTTAGTAGAACATAAAATCTTGGAAATTTACTTCTTGGATCTAGTTTGCTAATACTGTGCATTTATTTCCAGCTTCCTGAGGTTGATGGAATGATGTCTTTGTTTTCTGGTATAGGGGTTTTTGGTTGGTTTTTTGTTGGTTTTTTTTTTTTTTCAGAATAGTCAGTTGCATTAAGTAGGCATTGACTGATGCACTTAGTCTGCCCTTTCTAAACTTTCTAATTAAATATCCTGGACTTGCTTGCTGCCCAAAGATGAGTGAGATAGAAATCAACTGCACTGTCTTCAGACTGCAGAGAGTAGTTATTTTGTCTTATGTTGTGAGTTGAAGGTGTTTTCCACTTGCATCCCACGTAGAACAATTATTCATGTCAGGAAAAGAGAAAACCAAACTTCCAGTAAAAGATCAAAAGCTATTACAGTGTCATTTGAAGTGACTTTTTTGCATCTTAATCTCGATCATATTCTCAGTCCCTTATCTAAGCAATGATTTCTTCTGCTTTTCCTTGGCTTCTGCTTCAGGTTCATTTCAGTTATAAATGTGAAATTTCAGATCTTGCTGGTTGCATCAGGAAGCTGAGATGAATAACCTTGTAATGACTAAAAAAGAAAAGTCTGAGAAAAATGGGTGTATTGTTTCACATTTGTGGCAAAAGTTTTGCTGACTAAAGGGCAGCAGGTCTCCACAGAATAGTGACTTCCTTTATGTTCCATGACTTGACCAACCAGGAACCATAACAGAAGTGTGTTTTAGTGTGTTTAGTTCTTGGTGAAGGGTGAAAGGATGAGGGGCAGGATGGATTGCTCTTTCCTGTAATTTTCCCTCTTAGGGTCCTTACAAAGAAACCTAAAAGGGGGGTGTGGGGCTTGCGCTGAATGAACATTCCACCTCCTGTAACGTTTGGCCTGGGATTACTGGTGGTTCAGTTGAACTAGATGACACTGACAGTAGCATTTCTGCAAATGTTGTCTAGGTATGAAATCTTCCATTTCAACTGCTGTCTTTGTTTTCCTTTACCTGCTCTCTTGGTTGCTTTCTTCTTTCAGATATTATCTGCTTTGTCTCCTTTCATTGCTTTCTGTTTGAGAGCTCAACCACTCTCCACTCTGTAGAAGCTGTCTTGTGAGCTTGTGGTCAGTGAGGCAGCCAGGCACGATTTTGGAAGATACTGGTACAGGTACCCTGCTCAGTACGCAGAGGTCAGAAGCCTTGCCAGTGGAGCACTCGTGTGCGTGTGTGTGTATGCGCATAGTAGATGTTTTAAAAATGAACTCCAGCACTTTGTTTCAATATATTTTATCATATGTAGAAACTTAGATCAGCTGGACAAGTCTTTACTGCATTTAGGGTTTTCCGAATAGGTCTCTTTCCCAAAGACATTTCTATGTGTCAGTGGCTGAAGTTTCTTAAGCATTTTTAGCTTTGGGCTTTTTTTAGTATATTTACTGTAAGGTTTGATGCTCAGTTTAGAATAAGAGGAATGAGGATATGCTAAAACTAAGATACTAAGATTCTAAGTTTTAAATTCTTCCTGTGTACATACTTGCACACAAGTTGGATCTTCTGTCCATCCTTCAACAGCCACTCTTCTTTGTACTTGCTCATTTCTCTGGAGCCTTTATAATCCTACAGGTAGGAATAAATAATGTAAAGAGGGTGCTTTTTTTATACTTCTGGGGTATAGTTAATGTGCATTCCTTTTTACTTTTCAACTGAAGAACTGGAAGGCTATTGCTACTCCTTTTTAGCGTGGTCTTAAAGGACAAATAACTTCATTGCTTTTAAAACGGTCTGTTGTGGTTACAGGAAGATGTAGCCATATGTTGTCAATTCTTATTAATCTATAAGCAGTTAGATTGTCTCATCCTTCCTTTTCTTTTTTCTTCCCCCTTTTTTTTTCTTAAGGGAGCTTCGCTGGTTTGCCTGAAAACAAGTTGCGCATTTGTATTCAGCCTCAGCCACAAAACCTGACAGTGGGGGATGCTTTGGTACTAGAATGTGGAGCTGTTGGAAACCCAATTCCTCATTACCAGTGGTTCAGAAATGGCTTTCCCTTGGCAAATGGGAGCAAAAATGTTTACATGGTAAGTTACTGCAAAGTTCCAACCTTGGAGGACTAATGTGCAAGCACCTTTAATTTATCACATAAAGCTTTCTTGAGGAAAATAACTTCTTCACAGCCTTGATAACCCCTTATGGAAGTGCTCCCTCTAAGTTGTTCTGTGGTGTAACTCACTTGCCCATACTGTTCTGAATCTCCCGGGTGCATAATTTTAATCCTGAACATGTTTCAGGTGGTAGTCACGGGAAGTAAAGCTGTAGTATATTTTGGATTGTGAGACATATTGACCTAAAGATTAAGTATCGGTAAAAATGATGGTTTCTCTATCTTGCACTGCAAAGCTCTGATTTGTACAAGCTGTTGCATTCGCTGCTTAATGCACCTCAAGCCTGCGAGGTGGATTTGCATTCTTCAATTCTTGAAAGCATTTCTAGAACACAAGTGCTGTCCAGCTTACTGAAGAATGAGGGTATTGGCAGCTTTTTGGTTTGTTTAGACTTTGCTTTTAGTTTTTACTCTTTCTTGCATGTGGGCTTAAATGAAACTGATAGAAGTATTGTGTTGGGGTCTGGGCGAATGACAGTGATGATGCTTGTTTAGGTAACTTATGTGGATGTGGAACATCAAGGAACATATTGGTGTCACGTATTCAATGACTGGGAAGATCAAGACAGCAAGAAGATAGAAGTTGTTATAGGTAAGGAGTTCTTATGTTTGGTACAGGTCAGCTGATTTATCAGTTTCTTCTCTATCATTAGAATTTATTTTTGAAGCTTTCATTATTAGGCCAAGCACATGCCTTCTGTATTTTGAGTTTATCCATTTGTTAAAATAGTTGTGCTCGCTTGCAGCTAATGGAATTTTAGAGCTTTGTCACTTATAAAGTGCTTTGGGTTTTTTTGGTAACCAACATAGAAATGCTACTGCTTTTTGGCATTGCTAACATATATATGGCTTGTCAGCAGGTTGCAAGCTGATTTCTTTGGTTTTTGACAACTAAAAACCAGTTTAACCCATGTTGGTGATATGAACTGTGTTACACTGAGTCCTTCAGCAATCAGGATAGGTGAGATTATTCATAGCAAGCAGAATAAATTAATATAACAGTTTAGTGTGTGTGTGAATGTATTTGCAGTAGACTAAAGAGGAGAAGATCTGTTTGTATAGTCTCCAGATCAGTCTGGGAATACTGTTGTGTAATTCATATAAAAAGTTCTTTCCTATCCTAAGAAATATTCTAGTTTAGTACTCCTGAGTTTTAGTAATAATGACTATACAGTGCTGTGGTCAGTGCTGATTTATACTGTTGTAAAATGAACCAGGCTGCTGAGAAGCTTGGAAGTGACCTTTGTCTTCCACTTTGTGTGCTAACTCTCATAACTGAGAGCAATTGTCTTCCAATTTTTTTCCCCCCCCTTAAAACACAAGGAAGGAAAGCTATGGCAGTGGAGTGCACAGAAGGTAAAGTAAATCTTTAGTTGTGAATCAATTTTTAAAAATTAATGATGGGCATGACGGATTCCTAAGTGTGTTGCTGAAAAGCATGTGTGGGTTAAGAGCTTCAGCCTTTTTAAACACACTGGTGTGTGGTGCAGTGTTCCTTTTGCATGTGCTTCTCTCTTCTTTGCCACAGTACCATGATCTAGAGCACATGGGAGAAAAACTGAGCTGCTTTCTTCTTCTGTGGTGTTCAAAGTTGTTTGGTTTTCACACTGGTTTTGTGTCCTGTGCTCACAGTTTCTGGTGAAATATAAAGATCTTGAGATTTCTTTGTCTGGGCTGAGGAGGCAACATCCTTTCAAGAAGAGCTGCAGGTGTTTAGGAACCTGGATGACCTTAGAGAGCTGGATAGAGCTGGTGCCACTATCAGTCCTCTGTCTGCAGGAGGTGTTTCCAGCAGCCTTATTAGGATGATTTCTGCTCTCCTTTGCAGTGCTGCAATGGGGAGGAAGAAGTGTGTTGTGACCTTTAATGTTGATACTGTGCCTTAGTTATTGAGCATCTCAAAGTCTGTAATATTTACATCATAGGGGATCCTGTATAGAGATGTAAGGCTGCTTACAGCAGTGCCCCACCCCAGTTTACCTACCTACGGTGGAGAAACAGAAAAAGCATTTGCCAGGACCAATAAATGGTGCTCTACCCTGTTTTTTCATAGAATCATAGAATTTTCTTGGAATTAGAGTTCAGCCAGAGCTGATGTTCCTCTTTAGTCCTTTTGTGAAAGGTTTAACAGTTGAGGGGACAGTGTGCTGTCACTCCCTGGAACATACAAGTGACACACATTTTGGTGCCAGCTGCTTCCATGGCACAGCTGCTGAGACCAGTTGGCTCTGGGCTGGGGGCGTCTGCATTGCCTGATGCAGTGCTCTGCAGAAACTGCCTACCTGCCTGTAATCCAGCTGCCCTCTGGAGCAGGATGGGGTCTGCCCCCAGCCTGCAGCTTGCTCTCCTGCAGCACTGTTCTGCTGCTGAGCCACAGAACGCCCACAGCAGCGTCACCCCGGGGCTCTGCACTCTCCCACGTGGGCAGGTGACCCTGCTTTTGTGGCTTCAGAGGCCTCCACTGCGTGGAGCAGGCCTGCTCTAGCAGGGGCTTCAGATTATTAATTTTCTTTTCCATAGTTTCCAGTGTTCTCAGAATAAATAGGTGAAACATGCAGTAGCATAGAATGTTTGAAAATTGTATCTGAAGTCCTGAATGCTGGCAGCTTTACACGGTGAGATCGCTTGCTCGGGATGTTGCTTTTTCAGCAGTCCTTCGAACATCTGTTTTTCAAATGGGTGATTCTGATATCTGGGTTCTTACTCATTCAAGCTGCTTGCATGCCTGGGGGATTGAGGCATAGTATGATTTTCTCCCTTGTTTTGAGATTTACTATGCTATAATGCTGTGTCTAGCATAGCTTAGCATATTGATGTAGGATTTTCTCTTCTCTGCGTGTGGAATGAACATATGAAAGGTTAGATTTACAGAAATGCAAAGCCAAAAGTATTTTAGAAAGGTCATTTGTTTTCTAAGATTCTACTTCTATTAGTAATGGTATGACATTTAATTATATATTAATAACAAATATTTTTGCTTCTTATTTAAACTATCATTTTATTGGTGTATTTCTTCACAGAAGATCTAAGTGATCTTCAAAAACCAGGTAAGTGGTAAGTTTTGAAAAACTTTAATTTCACATCTTCATTTTGTGTTACAAATCACTGAAGTCCAGCTGGGTTGCAATAAATAGTTTACATTATTTGGATGTGTTTATAACTGGGGATTTAATAGGGGCAGATATGTTAAGAGCAGCACAGCTTTCTGGTTCCAATAATGAACTTGAATATAGTAAGTCATAAGGTCGTTACTATCTTTGTAAAGTCCTGTAAAGCTGGTGTCTTGTACCGCATGTATACTTATATAAATACAGAAGGAATTATCTTCTGCTTTCTTGTTTGTGGCTTCTTTGGACTCTTAAGTTTTAGTATGTTGCTGCTTTTTAGGTGATTAAGGTGAAAAAGATGTGAGGTGTCTGGCTGTCACCCATGATACGTTGAATGGTACATTTCTTAAATTGATGTTGGAGTGAGCTGATGTGATTTGAGGCCTGATTGATGTCTGTTATAGAAACATAGATCTGGAGTAGTGCTCCATGAGGAATTATCCCTGATACAGTGTTCCCAAAATCTCAAATCACAAAGGTAATATAATTTCCTGGGTTAGACACCAAAGATATGTTTACTTTTGCCAAGACTCAGTGTTAGTCACTGAAGTGGTACTGTCATAAGATGTAATGTTACCCAAAGCATACTGCTGGTGTGTTGCTTACCCGTTCCTCTTGGCTTTACCATTCCTCAGTGAAGTACAAAATAAAAGAATTTTCACATGCAAATGGTCATTCCTGCAAGCATTTCCCATCTTGCATGTCTGCATTTCATTTGGAGAGGTTGAACTGCTCTGGATGTTACTGAAAATGCTGACGTGCAGTTTGTGAGATTCAAAATTATACTGTAAGCTTCTATTATTTCTTAATTTCTAGAACTAGCTATTCATATCCTATTAGGCTATGTTTGCTGGAAGGGGATGAAGGAGATCGTGTAAATGACAACAGAACACCCCAAAATCCCACCAGAACAAAAAGAGAACACTTTTTGTCTTGAACTAGTACCATATTAGGCACAGCAGTACCGATAGACTATGGCTGTATGGGACACACAGTTCATGTCCTGCCACTGGCAGCTGTGGCTGAACTTACTGACAATCTGCTTTTTTCATCTTATTTCAAGCAGACCTACAAGAACAATCCAATCACAGACCTGTTGGTAAGTAGTTCCGTAGCTGTAATTAACATATGTATTTAATATCTAAGAAATAGATTTTGCTGCTTCTGAATATTGTTTCTTCTGCTACTGCTAGGGAAGTAACTATACTGCATGCAAATCGCTGCAGGGAGGGAGACTTCTGTCTGGTTCTATAGTCCTTTATAATGCTTGCATGCCCTTTCAGTAAACTGTGGTGAGGGCACCAGTATTTTTAGTGACTCAGTGGAGCATCTACAACTTCTCATCTGTTTCAGTTTACTGTCTCAGATTCCTCTGGCCGCAGCCTTCGCCAGTGTGTTACTCCATCACTTTGAATACTTTGACAGTTGGAGGTAGCGGTATTGCGATGATGTGATAAAAAGGATCGGTAGCCTGTCTGCTAAGGCTGTGCTGCCCCTGCGAGCTCAGCTCTCCCTGTGCACAGTCTGCGGATGCTTTGAGCCTGAGCTGAAGCTCACAAAGATAGATGGATGGCATATATGTGCTATGAAGAGTCGTTGCTGGGGCTTTTTAACCATGTTTTTAAATTTGCCTGGTAGACTTGGCTGTGGTCAGGCATGTTGTCTTGTCAATGCTGCTGGTCTCTATCACAATTCTACCACTCTTTCAGGTTCCATCAGTGTGAGAGGGAGTGTAAGTGCTCCTCAGTCCTGAAAAGTGGTTTTCAGTCACAGTATGCCACTGTCACTCAGTCTCTGCTGTTCAAAATAGTTTACACTGTTCAAGACTTTGGAGGTTTTCCAGCTGCAAAAGTGTTGAAAGCCTCTAGTTTGAAGGAGGTGAAATGTTAGACATTGAGGCTACGGACAGAGATTCTCTTCTGGGTCTAGCAGTGCAGGGTTACTGACTCTGAAGCAGGTTTGGGGTGTTTACGTGACCTCATTTGCCACCAGAGCTGTGGGACAATAATTCCTGTTGGAGAGAAGTATAATAAACCAGGGAGGAAATGCCTTGATTTGAGTAAGTGCCTTTCTGTAACTTAGTGTGCAATTTTGAGGTAAAAATCCAGCTAGCGGTCTCTAAAGTGTTTCAGTTAATGTGACTTTTTTTTCTGCTTTTGTTGCTGCTTTGTTTACTTAGGACAGTTACTTTGGGCTTTATTAAAATCAAGATGAACATATCTCAAACTGTAAGAACATCAGTAGACTTCTCTCTGAATTTTGTAAATTTGTCGTATCTTTGTATAATTGTTTTTAACCAGAGCAACAGTAAAAAGAAACCTCAATGAACAGAAAAAAGACTTGACTTCTGTCCCATAAAAGTTTTCCCCCTAAATGTACTGTGGTTTTTTGAGAGATGGGAGATGGAGATGTGAAAGTAGTCTTTTGTGTGTGGTGTTTTGTTTGCTTTTTAAGAAGCATAAGAAAATTTGAGGTTTTTGGGGAAGTATACTGGTCATAGCTTTGGCAACTTGCCATAAGAATTTTCATGTTTATTAAATTTCCTCTTGCATGGGGGAATTTCATAGTTGTCTGTGCTTTCTGAAAAATTAAGGAAATGGGAGATGGTGTTAGTGACTCACTTCTTGATGGATTATCCAGTCTGAGATGTGTCAGAGCTCAGGTACGTTGACTGTCAGACCCTGCTGAAATGGGTTTTTGGATGAGGAGAGAGTTGGGCTGTACTTAAAATCATATTAAATATTGTGCCTGAAGTGAGATTGGATGCTATTTTCACTTTGGAGGAAATTAAATTTAAAGGTGTTGAACATGTGAAATGTATGAACATGATGGGTTTTCTTTTCCTCTGCCTTTGCAGCAACAGACAAGGTGGCTCTGTTAATAGGAAATATGAGCTACTGGAATCACCCCCAGCTCAAGGCTCCAATGGTAGATGTCTATGAATTGACCAATTTGCTAAGACAGATGGATTTCAAAGTTGTTTCTTTGCTGGATCTTACTGAGTCTGAGATGCGAAATGCTGTGGATGAATTTTTACTTCTCCTGGACAAAGGAGTATATGGTAAGAACATGTGATATCCCTTCTGAAGTATGTAAGTTTTGTGATGTATCGAGGACATAAACCTCTGGTATATACCTCTGCCAGCTCACTGTCTGTGACAGCAAAACAGACTTCATGGTAAATAGCATGTATGTAGAATGGGAAAAGTAAGTTAAAACCAGCCACCAATATATCCTTTGACTTTGGTTGAAATGTTATTGTTTCTTTATAACAGATAAAATGTTTGAACTTTTTTCTTTAACTGCACTGAAAACTGCAGTGCAGATTTTTTGTTCGATGGTACTGATGTGTTTCCTAAAAGCTGCTGCATCTGTACAGCACATTTGAGAACGTGCTCCACGGAAGATGCACGTTTGTACAAAGAAGTCAGTAGTAGTAGTTTGTAAGTAGCCTTTTGAGAGAGCAAGAATAGTCTGTTGTGTTGCCTGTATTGGTGTATGATGGAAACGAGCTGGTAGCGGAGCAGTTGAAAACTGCAACTGCAGTATACAAGACTACATGGAGTCTTGGGCAGCAATCTTTTTTTCCTTAAACTGTTCAGACTTAAAAATAACACCCTACAAAAAAATCCCGGGCTTTCACCTCTGTTGCAGCAACACTTTAATGACTGTACTGCAGTGTCTCAGTGATCAGAGGACAGCTTAAGCAAAGTATACATACTAGAAGATGTGTATTTAACACAGTTCTCTCTTATTTTCCTCTAAGTTTTTGTTATTTGAGTCACACATCCAATTATGAGATACCTGTAATAGAATATTAATAATAATTTTAAGCTTTCCTCCACATGCTACACAGGAGGTGCCTTTTCCTGGGATAATGACTAACCAATGGGGTCTGGTTGGTATGCATTGCTACTGCTGATGGACATTGATTCTTAGATGGTTGCTCATGTACCGGGATTCCTTGTCTTCTTAATTTTGAGGGATGAAGCACAAGGCAGAACTGGTGGCTCCACTAGCTGGGGGAGAGCATGGTGGAATTGATGCGCAGATCAAAAACCTTCATGTCTTGCATGGAAAAGGCCTAGAATGACCTGGCTTGGAGTGTAAGACAGGTTATTCTGTGGGCGTTGAGGAGTTTGTTGCTGATTGCCACTATTTTTGTCATTTTTCTAAAAGCTAAGATTGCGTGAACGACTCCAGAAATTATTTAGGACAGAGACCAAATAATCTTCTCAACATCTGCCTGTTGTCTTGTTTAAATTGCAGAATTTCTATAGTGACATCCACCTGAGAAAACATTATTTGATTCTCTTGGAACACAAGGTCAGATTATTTCTTAGCATGACTTTTTCTAATGGTGTGTTACCTGATGCTCTGTCTGTGCAGAACTGGCTGATCTGACATTTGGGCATTTATGTCAGAGCCAAAACTTGCATGACATGAAGACTAATTATGGCAGTAAAGTTTAGCAGACTTTCTGATAGCAGTTTTCTTTTTTTGTTCCCTGGGAAGTAGACATGCTTACGCATTTGAGTGAGCTTTTAGATTTTTGCGCCTTCACAATTTTTTTTCTGTAATTTTTGACACGAATTTAGAAAATATTCGGAGGCTTTAATGAGATTCTCCAGCACATATGAAAGCTCTTAGAAAGCATATTTTTGCCATTTGTATTTTCTAAAAGGTAAGCAGAGCATTCTTTCAGTAGTGTTTGGCAATAACTACTTCAGTTTAAGCGGTCACTGTTCTTTCTGGATAGTGGCTATTAATGGCTTTAAGTGTATAAAAGATGCTGTCAGTACACAAATAGATAATGGTTTGTTGTATTTTTACTGGGTATAGCTCCAAATAGAAAAGGCAGAGTGGCTACTTTTGTTTAGTACTTGTTACACACATTGGTGATGCTTAATACAACATTGTGTAGTTCTTGCTCACTGCTAGGAAAGGGGCATTCAGATACTGTTCCTTAAGAGCAAAAAACGGATGATGATTGTCTCCTCTAATACCTTAGTTCATGTTGTTCTAAATGTGGGGTGGAGTTAACACTCTATTCCATAAAGGGTAAAAGCATAGACCCGTATGTTTTAAAGGCTAAAAGTAGTTAAGCTGCTTTCTTTTTTAAAAAAAAAAAAAAAGAAAGCGAGAGAGAAGCAGATACCACTTAAATGCTGACGTCTGTGAGGAACTTGAGCCTACTTAAAATTGTTGTGTCAAAGTGTCTAATGAGGCTCTCCAAATATGTTTACTCTGCTTACGCTGGGAAGGCAGAGATTTATTTCTGATCTTGAGCTCAACATATTAACTGTTTTAGGCATAGCACAGTCAACTGCCAAAGATACAAAAGAAATGTAGTTGGCATGTCTGAGATTTCTATTCATTGAGGTAATACTCTGATAAATTGTGCTTTACATTAGAGGCTTGTTTCCTTTAGGTCCAGATACAAACTCTGGAAATCAAATTTACAAATATCCTTTTAACTTAGAACTTGACATGGAGTCACGCACTTGGCGTTTAATTTTATCTCTCTTGAAACTACCTGGTCTCAGGTAACCATTGGAATTTTATAGATACCCCAGTAGTACCTGTACTTGTTTAGGTTTTTAATCATACCCTTTAAATTCGTTGCCCTTTATAGATCTAATTTAATAAAGCTGTTGCTGTTTTCCAAGACTAGCAGATGAATTACCATCAGGCTCTGTTTAAGTGAAACCTTGCATCCTGGAGTTTACCTTGTATGCCCTTGCTGGCTGCTTATCTAGGCTGTGTGTGTTTCCCATAAAAAGAAATTAAGCGCTGTTGGTTGAATGGAGCAGTTTGCAAGGTCTTGGCATAGTTGTTAATGACTTGAGAGCTTACAAGTAAAGTAGAACCGAAGGCTTCATTTGAAGGGCTACAGTTACATCTTGGTATTCTTCACAAAAAGTGCAGGTCTGTGCGAGAGAACTATTTCCATTTGTTGTAGCTATCTGTAATGAAAAGGTAAAAACATCCAGCATACCTTCCTACACAAGCTGATTTCAGTGTAGAGCATTTTACTATGTTAGGGTAAGGCTTACTTTGTCTCTTCTGAAAATTCAAGTTTTGTAGTGACACAAATTTCACAGGTACTTTTTAGTAAGACTACAACAGAAGACTGTATCTCCAGTTGGCATAAATTGTCATATTTCTGTTCACTTTTATTCAGCTGCAGCACTACAGATAGTAGAAGATGTGACCCATAGACTACTTTGTGTAGATAAATAAAAATTATTTTTAAAAGATGGAACTTGCTATAGATAAGCAAAACCAGTGATGGGAACAGACAATAGGAAAACTCCACTTAATCATAGAAGTTTCTGGTAACTGCATTTTATGGCAGTGGAGGTTATTAGTGCTGAGATCATCCACTCTTACTACAAGTTGGTATGACTCCAATATTTGACATTTTTATTCATATAAGTAAAATCTAAGCCTTAGGTTGCTGTTCCTTTTTTTCAGGATTAAGAAAAGCTTTTTAAAATTCTATTATATGTGTTCTTTATACAAAACTATTGCATGCTTTATTGAAGATTTTAAATCTTAATGTAGACTGTTATGTCTACACATGAGGGAGGTGATTGTAGGATAATCTTTTGTGTCTAGGTAAGCATGCAAAGAATTTGTGTAGTAGACCCACAAGAGACATGAGCCCATAACTGTAAAGAGATGTAGATGCAATCAGCTACAAGCGAGTTGTTGGTAGTTTGGTAATGGGAATGGCTCTGGCATTCTACCAAACATGATCACAGAATAATCTTTTTTTTTCCCCCTCAAACTCTAAAAATATTTATTATCTTTCCCTACAAAAATGACAAATGGAGAAACTGACTGTACAGAAGAAACAGCAAAACTAAAAGCTTGCAAAATACTCTCATAGTGCAAGTGAGCTTTTTCTCTATATTTTTTCTAGTTGAAGTACTTCTAAAATTGCCAATGATTAATGATAAGTTAAAAACCCAAGCATTGAAGGAGAATAATTTCAAGGATGACACCATCTCTCATTTAAAAAACCCAAAAGATCCATCCAACTGTTCAGCGTTGTTTTTTTATCTGTAAAATCTGCACTGACTCACTGCTACTCAAAGCTTTGTAATTGCACATGTGGAGAAGATGTTTTACAGCTGGCACATTTCCTTGTTCATGTCAGTGTGTCTTATACATAACGGATTATTTCTGTTAGAGGTCTTAACTCAGAACATTTTAAGAGTATTTAACTTTGTGTTTTGATGCAAGTATCTAATTGTATTGCATGGGTGTTTTGGTTTTTTTAAAATTTGTTGTGCCTGTGTGTTGGGAAGTTGGTGTTAATGTGGTTGCCCTCCGCCTACCCTTCCTTCCTGTATTAACAGAGGCATATTGATATTAAAAAACCTGCTTGGAGTAGCATGAATGATCTTAATCTCCCACAGGCATGTAGTGTGGACATAGTGCATGAAGTTTTTGACCATGCTAAAATTTGTAGAAATGTTCCACAGTACTCTTGAACTGTGTTTTCAGTCACATTTATTTTGAACTCTCAGGTTTGTTGTACTACGCTGGCCATGGCTACGAAAACTATGGAAACAGTTTCATGGTTCCTATTGATGCTCCAAATCCCTACCGGTCTGCAAACTGTCTGTGTGTGCAGAACATCCTCAAACTAATGCAGGAAAAAGAGACGGGACTTAATGTATTCCTGCTGGATATGTGTCGGAAAAGGTATAATCTCATCATTGATGAAGAGTGAGAGCTGACATTAGAAGTTGGAGGGATGTTTTTGCTTTGCCATAAAGGGAGAGGGTATAATTACTGTAGTTTTGGGAACCATCTGTGAAGTTCAGTCTATTCACTACAGCAACAGATTAAAACTGAGCCTGTTTTAAAAATTGAACAAATAGAACTGAACAGCCACTTCGAGAGAATAGCAAGGGATCTTGAGAGAAAGCCAGACTTCATGCTGAGGAGAAATCTTTACTCTAGGCTGAGAATTCACTGTACTGAAAGTTCATGGTTCTGAGAATTCACAGCCTGCACCCGAGTGCTTTTAAGGTCTATAGGATTCATTCATAGACTTACTTTGCCTTCGGCCTTGGATGGAAATGTGAAGCCAGTGATTAGACTTTCTGTTTCCATGAGTAGATACTTGCCTCGATTTCAGTGGCATTTATTTCTTTGTTTTGGTGGTTGTTTAAAAGTTATAAAGCATCAGTCTTACTAGATAAAAGTGAAATTATGCATCTTAAGAAAAATTACCCTTTCCCCTTGCATCATTAACCATCTTCATCATTATGGGGAGGAAGCAGAATCTGTATGATCAAAGGCATGTTAATTTGACTAAGGGCTCACTTTAGAGCTCTTCAGAAGCATGGATTTTATGGACTGCTTTTATGCTGGGGATGTTGTATCTTTATTTAGAGCTTAAAAATCAACTGGTTTATTGGATTTTTCTAAACAAAGTACTATTTTATTTCCATAAGATGCTACTATGCCCAATTGAACTTGCACTTGAAGTCAGCTCTTCAGTCAGCACTTCTGAAAATTGGTCTCTGAGGAATGTTTCGTAATAGGAAATTGCCGGTGCTTTAGTGTTTGTAGAGCCTCTGAACTTCACTGTTAATGAAATGTCAATGACCCAATTCAGCTTCACAGTCTGCTGTCCAAATAGAAAGTACAGCTACATGAGCCTCATGTTAACTATGCAGAGACCATGTTTTGGAATAAAAAAACCAAAACTCATCATTTTTGTTATAACCCAAAATGACTAGTTATCAGAAATTACTTTTGAAGAGATTGTAGCCAGACTCTATATTGTTTAATCCATCTGGGTAATGTGTGGTATCTGACTGTGTCTTTAGAGTGTCCTCATGAAGACTGTTGGTGATGCTCATTTTTGTCTTTGAGCAGTCAGGGTTCATTCCAGAATTATAGGAGAGGGAAAAAATACTGTTTCTGAACCATTCTGTTTTGGTGTTTTGAACAGCTGTACAGTTTGTTACCATTATTAGTCCTCAAGTTATTGTTTTACTTTTTTGTGTTTCCGTTTATTGCAGAAATGAATATGATGACACAATTCTTATCTTGGATGCTCTGAAGGTTACGGCCAACATTGTTTTTGGATATGCAACGTAAGGAAATATTTCTCCTGCTGTGCCACAGAGGTTTTGAAGCCAGAAGTGACCCCTGAGATTGCATAGCTAATCTTTTACAGAAAAATACTAACTGTGGTGTTAAAGGACCAGCAATTTATATCCGTACCTGTGTCCTCAAACTTTTTTACTTTGCTATTTGAATCATTCCACAGTCTGACTGTGGTTGTACATATGTGATGATTCCCAGTATTTAATGTTCAGTCAGGTACAGGGTAACAGCAGTGAGGGGACTGCATTCAACAAACCAGAAACCTGCTGGACAGTGTTCCTGATCTCTTTCCAGTGGTTACTTGTAGGAGTGCTCTACTTACCTAAGTATTATTTGAGATGAAAAAAAAAATGAAAAGAGCAGATTTTGCCCTCAGACTCATAATGTTCTGTTTCTTTGTGCTGATGGGGAAAGGGGAGTTATGTCCTGTGTGTTCCGAACTACTTACTGCACTGTGAGCTTGTACAAAAGGTCATGTGCTGTGGAGCAGTTGATGAACTGTAACTTATGTGCTGCACTCTCTTCAGTCATGTGTCTCCTCTGGTAATGCAAGTTAAGTTTCTAGAAAAAGATGCACTAGAAATATAAATGAATGAATTGTTGGAGGAGTAACATGTGGATTGGCCCCTGTGTTTCTTATTATAGCTGTAAAGAATAAAGTTACCACTGCAGTTGAAACAGTTTGAAGAGGTTACTTAAGCAGAAAACTAAATAACCTCTCTCTGTCAGTTTTCAAGTCAAGCTGTTGAATAGAAGTACTCAAGAGCTTTAATGACATCTTCTGTGAGAAATTTAAGCTGCTCATATAAGCAGTTTGACCTGAGCCCTAGTCTGTGGCTTGATTGTAAGTGAAATCTTGCCAGGATGAGTTGCTTGCAAATGAACATGAAGAGCAAGCAGCTTGGCCTTAGACACAACCTGGTTTTCAGATTGTAGGGCTTCTTTCCCCCATTCCCAGCATAACTCTACTTCTTTTGTCCTCATGTTGATCTTAATCATGCAGATGTTTTGGCGTTTTTCCTTGCCTGATTTTGGTGATCTCATAGGTGCCAAGGAGCAGAAGCTTTTGAGATTCAGCAGTCAGGGTTGGCCAATGGAATCTTCATGAAGTTCTTGAAGGACCGTTTGTTAGAAGACAAGAAGATTACTGTTCTGCTTGATGAGGTTGCAGAAGGTGAACTCCAGTTTACCGCACTAGTAGTCTTCTCAGCCTGCATTGCTAAAAACTTATTTGCTTAAACATCATTCTTCTGGTGAATGTGTTGCACTACTTTAAGCTCTTTCTTGTTGCATTTTGTTGAAATAGCAGCTTTCTTCAAGAGTCAGATGCTACTGGGCAGCATACTAACAAAGGACATGATATTCTAAAGGAATTTGAGCTTCTTTAATAATGGTCAATTTAATACTCTCCTTTTTAGTGAACCTTATTCATTCTGAGTGTATTCCTGCATAGAGCTTGGAGTTGTCCATCCACAAAAATTACTCTTCTGTCTTGTGTCAGCTGCTAGTGGTAGTCCAGTCATTTCCATGTTCATTTAAACAATTAACTGAGTTCTACCTACCTCACAGTGCTGTAGTGATGATAATTATTTGCTCCCTATCAAAGGGTGTAAGTGCCCTATAAAGGGCAATCCACTGTTGCAATATGCCTGATTTAGTAATTGTCTTTTATAATTGGTGGGAGAAGTGCTAAAACGAAAATTGAGGGAAAATTTATTGCTTTTGTGTAAGCATTTGCTCAAAATACAGAATAGATACAGACATCTAACAAAGAGCTGTCTGTGTAAGGCTGTTTTTTGTAGGTAAAGTAAGTACTCAGCCAAGTTCTACTGTGGTTTCCAGTGTACTTGGTGCAACTGCAGGTCTCAGAATTTTGCTCAGTCTGTCTTTTGACAGGGATCCAAAAAAACAGAAAAAAAAAAAAATCCAAGAGCATCCTAAATGCACAGTAAAGTTCTGCTACCAACAGGATTCTCTGCAGGCCTCTGGCGTGCTGTTTTAGCCTTAAGTGAATGAATAGCTGAGCAATGAATACTTTTCAAATGACAAGATTTATGGATATGCTGACACTGACATAACCATAGCAACCACACAGCATTGCAGTGATGTACTTAATTTAGTTAGAATTTTAACAGCATTGATTTTGAAAGAAACTGTATGCATCTTATTTTTAGATATGGGCAAGTGTCACCTTACCAAAGGCAAGCAAGCTTTGGAGATCCGCAGCAGTTTGTCTGAGAAAAGGGCATTAACTGATCCCGTTCAACAAACCACATCTTCTGCAGAGTCTCTGGCACGGAACCTGCAGTGGGCCAAAGCTCACGGTACAGTACAGCCTACGTTTAGATGATCCTGCTGGCGCGATGGCGAGAATCAGAGGATGTACTTCCTCAATAATGTCTAGTCTGTGGGTTGTGACATGGAATGGAAATGGAAGAATTCGAGTTCATGTCTGTGTTTTCATTAGTATGTTCAAATGTTAGTGTTGGGTTTACCTCTACGTGAGGTTGTAATGAACAAGGTGACGTGCAGAACTCAGGATGAGTAGGTATGTTTAAGACCACTCAAACACTGTAGGGGAGACTTAGGTGATACCTGTCTCCTGGGAAAATCTCCCAGTAGTCTGTGTCTAACAGTGACACTCTTATGACATCGTTAATGTTCAAGTCATCACCTGAGGTGGCCGGGTGAACTGTATGGTAGAAGTGCATGATGAAGACGAGTCTTCAATATATGCAACTAAGAAAACTAAGGGCAAGGTCATGCCAGGCTTTCTAGACTTATTTTAAGAAGGGCAGTGAGGTATAAGACCTTTTTATCTTTTTCACTTAAACACGTTGGAGTACATTTTAAAATTTCTTTGTCAGATTGGGCAGAGTCAGGGGTGGCATTCTTAAGACAACTAGTCATGTAGGCAGACTCTTTTCACAGATGAAGATTTTTATTTGTGGAATCAAGCCCTTAATCCTTGTTTGTTAAATGATTGAAATGCAAAACAAAAATGATAAAGACATAATGTTATTTTATGATTTGTTTTAAGCCATGCATAGAAGAGAATGTGTTTGGAATTTGGGAAGAGAATAACCTTTATATTTGTATAAAGGTATGTCTATGATAAATGTTAAATAATCCACTTCCAGTGGGAGTAGAAAAATCAGTACAAAGTGTACAGGCACAGAATGATGTCACTGACCCTTGAGCACTTTTGGGTATATTCCTATGGACTGAGAAAGAACCAAAAGAACCAAAACCAGAAGAAAAATCCTATGTGCTGGGCTTTGTGAATGTGAATGGAAAACAATGAACCTGAAACTTGTTCTGCTGTCTCATTCAGAAGTTCTTATAATGCTACAGCTGTGTGTATTGGATATTGACTGTATTAAACTTACTGGTTTGATTACAGATATGTAAACATATTCTTGGGTCGGTAAGCTATATCCTAGTTACAATAAACATTGCCTTGCACAGAGTGGAAGGAAACCTGCGAAGCAGAAGTTGAGTCAGCTCTCTGTCAGTGTCTGTCAGTTACCGTGTGATACTAGTAGTGTTGCTGCCTGGTTAGCTTCTAACCTGGTTTGCTTCACTGTAAATCTGTACGTGATAGGAGGAAGAGGCCTGTATCTTTTAAAACTTTTAAATTTAAAAACATAGAAAATACATATGCTAAGTTTTATTTAGAATGTAACAATGTATTTTTTTTTATTTGCAGAGCTTCCAGAAAGTATGTATCTTGAATTCAGATGTGGTGTTCAGATTCAGTTGGGGTTTGCAGCTGAGTTTTCCAATGTCATGATAATCTACACACGAATAGTAAAGAAGCCACCTGAAATAGTAGTTTGCAGAGCCTACGTTACAGACTTCGCACTCGTAAGTGCTTCCCATTGGTGTCTTGGTGATTCCCCTCCGCTGAAGTTGAATATTGTCTCTTCTGTCCATGTCAGACTGCATCATTGGTAATAAAATGGGCCTAATCTGTTGAAACCAGGTGCTCAATTATTTTAATGCATATTTTTAATGTATATTAAAAAACAGTAAAATTAATTTCAGGTCATCTTTTTCAAAGTCTCCTTTGTTTTTAATTGTCTAGTATCAAGTATTTTATTTAATTAAAGAAGTTAAACGTCAGGTCCTATGTGAGCTGAGGACACTTCACCTCACACAGGACATCCACCTTGCAGGACAAGATTTCTTTACGCTTTAGTTATACAGTCCTTTGCACCTGGGTGATCCTGTCCAGTTTCATTGATGTTTCTCAGCTGATCACAGTAAAGTAAAGGATAAAAGTAAAACAGAAATCCTCTTGGGGCAAAAACATCATCTTTTTTGATGTCTGTGAAAGAGGACATGGGACAGAAAACCTTTGTAGACAGAAAGAACAGGACACTTCTGATGCTTTATGAATAAAATATTTGCGTTAATGTGCATAATAAATAGGTGTATTTTTAGCCCACAGAATTAGTGCTATAGTGCTGTACTTAAAAGTTAGATTAAAAAAAAACAACCCTGAAGCAAGCAGAGCAAGTTTGACAGGAACTGTCAGCAGAAGAGGGTAACCTGCTCAAATGTGTAACCCCTTCTGCCTGTGACTAACAGTGGTTTCAGCAGCTTTTGCAAGTAGTTCAGGATTGGTGTTTTCTTTCCTTTTAAGAAGAAAATGCTGACTTTATAAAAAGAAACACTGCTAACTATTTTATGATCTATAAATTCTGTACTTTTTGATTAAGTTCTCATTTCTTTCTTGCAACAGGACCTGGATGTGGATCCTAAAGAGGCCAATAAAGGAACTCCTGAGGAAACTGGAAGCTATTTAGTATCGAAGGACCTTCCCAAACACTGCCTCTACACCAGGCTCAGCTCACTGCAAAAACTAAGGGTTAATATAATTATTCCTTACAAGTTGGTTGGGATAATTTAGATTAATTAGGTTGCTTTGCAGTTCTGTTGAGGTAACTGTGTATTGTCTGCATAATAAGTAACATATTCTTTGGAGGGAAAAAAAGGCTAAAAGCAGAATTTAGTGACATTAGGTTTTTAGCTGAAAAATAAAGGCCGGGAAATCAATGCATATGCAATCCTGATACCGTCATGCAAGGCACTTTGTTTTTTCTAGGCCACTACTGATCTTTGACAAGGTAATTATTTTTGTGGAGGTCATTTTATTGCACAGTGTGGGGATGTTCCTGTGCTCTAATAGAAGAAGAATTGACCTGAAGCACAGCTGCATCTTGCAGAGTCATTAGCAGGAGACGAAAATGCAGTGTACCATCTCTTTCCATTCCAACCTGTGCTCTTGGGCATGCAGTTTTTGAGAGGTTCTCCCTTCACCATACTGCGGCACTGTTAGTTCATCTCTGTCTTTGTTGTGAACATCTGTGCTGGACATCGTTTTGTGTCTCTTCTTCAGTGCTTCGTTAGCTGGTGTCAAACAAGTGCTTCTAGAAGTAAAGGCTGTTAGGTGAGCAAGTGTTAACCAGAGAGGTCCAGTAAACAAGTCTTGCCTGATATGTCTTTAGCTCCTGAAAAGGTTAGTCTCCTTCTCCAGTAGACTGTGCCTCTGTTTCATGTATTGTTTATTTGGGGAGGAAGTGTAACTTCTTCTTCCCCCTTCTCTTTTGCAGGAACACTTGATCTTCACTGTTTGCTTGCACTATGAGTATCCAGGAATAGAAGATACAATGGATGAAAGGAAGGAAGTTAATGTTGGGAAGCCCCTTATTGCTAAATTAGGCCTTCATCATGGATTCAGAAAAAACAACTGTCTTCAGACCTGTTGCATGACTGATAATCCTTTTCATGATCAAATAGAATCAAGTCCAGTGGCAACTAAATACTACATCCCTAGTCATTGTCCACCAAATTCCTGTCCAGACATTTACCATCCAAACCACATTTGCTCAAACAGCATCAGACAACCAGAGGTGTGTTCCTGCAGTGGGACTTCAGGGATATTAACTTCACGACGTGAAGTACAGACTTACTCATTCCCTGTGGAAAAGAGTAATGTACCAGTGGAGACCACTGATGATACTGTTGAACTGGAATTCCTTCTCTCTGACCACCTCAGATTCTCTGAGCAGCAGTAGCTGTGATTTATTCAGAACAGAGGAGAGTACCATCTCTGGTGGAGGGGTCCTCCCACACTGCTTTTCCGTCTTCAGGAGTTTGGAGCCTTCAGGACAAAGGGATTGGAGAGTCTAGAGATGGTACTGGGTATAAGGTTACGATGAAAATTTTTCAGATCCAAAGAGTTGAAACTGAACTGATAGATTTAAGAATGAAAAAGGCATGATTTTTTTTCTCCTACCGTTTGACATTTGATACAGGGAAAAACCTAAAATCCTGTTTCTTGTTTCATTCTCTGGCAGTCAAGCAGCCAACGAACAGAGGCAATCCTGTGTTTCTGGGAGGAAGCTGCCAGTCTCTGTTAGGGGATGAATGCATAAAAACCTGGCTCTGGTGTCAAAATTTCTCTTGAGGCAGCAAAGCCTTGGATCTTCCCAGGTGCTTCTCCAATACCTACTGGAGTTAAAAGATTTACTGTAAATGTATTTTTCATAAATCTGTTTTCAGAGAGGTATTGCTCATCCTATACAAAACCAGAATAAACATGTATAGCTGTCAGAGGAAAAAATGTTGGCAGAATTAAGCAGAAAAATGAAGTTCCATGTCTTCTATGATTTAACATGATATTTAAAAATCCATTAGCCCCAAAGTGATGAATACACCTTTCTGTCTTCCATCTTTCAGTTTCAGTTGTTCAATATCCAGGGATTTTTTTTTGCATACTGCATTAAAATAAGGTTTTGTGTGTTTATATATGTTGTAACAGCCTTGTGTAAGATGACACATAACGTAAATGAACTGAGAAAAGAGGGAGCTTTTACAGAAGTGAAGATACTGTGTTAATATTCCAGTGTTAAGAATATGTCTCCTTCAAGCCTCAGTTTTTTTTCCTTCCCCATGTATGTATTGGGCTCAGTTACTAACATTCTGGTCCCTTGGATGTAGCTTACAGCCAGTTTTGACCACATTCTCCTCATGATCAGATGTCCAGTGTCTGGCAGCAACTGACAGATGGATGAAGAGCTGTGCAAGGAAAACAAAACCTCAACTGAGCTAGTAGACAATATTATTGCTTTTTTATTCTTTGTTGGGTTTTTTTGAGAGCTGCAAATCATCAAAGGGTGCAGAGTCACAGATTGTGACTCAGTGGTGGACTGTTCCTAAGAAAGTCTTTCTCTTCTGTAACACACTTAGGATTTTTGCTGATCTGATTCTGGAAAGATGGTCTTTTCATGTTCTGGAAGAACACTAAATGGAAACATGAGGAAAAAGTGCCTGTTCATAGCAAGCAAAGCATTGCGTAGGTAGTCGTACAGTAAGACCCGCAGAAGACTAAAAATGAATGGGCAAGATGAGTGGAAACTTTGGGGTTCTTCAGGGTGAAGTATGAGGATGGTGCTCCTGGACACCAGCCATTGCTAAAAACAAAACAAACCCTACTCAGTTGTTTTCCAGGCCAAATACTTATTTAAAAAAATTTCTAAAAGTCTACCCTAAAACTGTGAAAATCCAAGATAAAGCTTCCAGCACCCACAAACTTATAAAAGATAAAGCAACTTTAAACTCAGCCTGCTGAAGGTGAGGGACACTGACTTCCCGTCATGCCCTGGCACTTGCTGTACAGCCCAGCGCGTGTGCGTTTGCTCGGGCTCAGCCATGGAGCTCACCTCGCTGCAAACGAGACACCAGCAGCAGGGGAGTCCTGAGGGCCTTCAGCCTCTGAACCCCAGAACCTCACGGACGGAGAGAGGCACCGGCAACTTCAGAAGACACATTGATCCTCTGCTGAAAGGCACATGAGCTACGTTCAGCTAGTGCTTTATTGCTTCGTTGGACAAAGGGAGCAGATAGACCCAGCTTGGGCTAGCTGCCAGGATTTTTACATGATGCAAAATGTATTGATCTGTGTTCAGGGAAGGGCAGTTTTGCTCACCAAACTGTTTTGCCTATTCAGGTTGAATAGTTTGGTCCAAAAAAAGAACTACTTATAATGTTTGGTTTTGTTTCAAAATACTGAAGAATCTGTGACTTGCCTGTGTATATCTGCAGACGAGTGTGGGAATGCTGATGTTTTATTAGCTCTCTAAAAGTATTGCTGCTTGGAAAGCATGAAAATATTGGGGTGTGAGGTAACTAAAAGGAGTTTTCAGATACAGGTAGTAGCCTCTCCTGCCCTAGTAATACTTAAAATCATTATTGCTTTCATAAAGATCCCTGTCATGAAATTTTTTACTTTAGAGAAATTATCGTAATGCTTTTAACTGAGTAGGTAGCAAGAAATAAAATAACTGGATCTCATTGATGTGGTGGGCAAACCAGTTTAAATCTTCAGTTGAGAATGCTGCCTTCTGGTGGGATGTGGTAGTCTTACAAGATGCTGGCTGGATGCTGAGGGAGGTGCTGTACGTGGCCATAACAAGTTTCAGATGGGAAGGTAATGGATCATTAACTAGATCTATTGATCTTCAACTTCATCTGTGCTGAAAGGTGGATATATGTACATGGATATTAATGTAGTTATTTCCAGAATGACAGCCATGCTCGAAGTAATCTGCAAATGAGCTTGAGTTTCTGATTTTCTCCCTTTTCCTGGAGGGTATTAAATACTGAAATATTTATTGATGAATGAGATGTACCCGTGCATTAACTATCCTGTGCAATTGACTTACAAATCAAAAATTATAGCTTGAGACATGGTCTAGTACTGTAATACTTAACTAATACTTTGTTACAGTTTCTTTAATTTGTATAAAAGCTTTTTCTGTTTCTTACTGTGTAATAAATTGTTCTCCACAAAATGTCCTATCTATGCATATGTGGTTGCTATATTGTTCTGCTCCTCACAGCTCAGAAAGCCCAAAATTTTATTAAAACAAAGCATATAATTAAAAAAAAAAACAAACACCAACGAAAAAGAAGGGGAGATCTAAATCATGAGCTCAAGTTAAACATATCTACATCCTGGGCCTGTATGGGTTTCTCAAACTATGGATTTCAAAGATTTTTATTTTTTTTTTTTTAAATAAGTTTGAATGCCTTCTACCTTCTGATATCCTGGTAATACTGCTGGCTAAACCAAAGTGTTCCTTCACCATCACTTCACAAAGGTACCCAAACAAGTGTCTGTGGTAGGTTGTCAGTTACCCTGGGAAATGTGGATAGAGAAAGAACCCAATTATTAAACGGTAGAAGTTGTCCAGAGACAGGCAGGGGCCTCACTGACTGTTTGCTTGTCTGTTTGCAGGTGCACTCCTCCGTGGCACGGGAAGGGCTGCCGGCAGCAGCAGTGCTGGTGTGAGAGTAGCTGTTTCCTGGTGTGATTTAAAACTAACCGTGGGCAGCCTGCTGGTGCCTTACAGTGGAATATCGGGTCAGCACTCCCTGGATTTTCTGCTGCTAGAGAGCTCCAAGGCATTTATGAGTTCCCAAGTTTAGTACATGGCCCGACGGTATGCAGACTTTGTCAGCCTAGGTAGGAGCTGATGAACCTTTGAGGATCTATACCCAAGATGCTTGAAATGTAACTTTACATGAACATGGTAGAGAACATGGCAGAACTGCAGGGATTGGAGAAGGACCTGTGCACATCATCTGACAGAACTCTACCTGTGGCAGTAGGGTCTATGGAGGAAAACTTTATCATTCGAGCCCTCCTTAGAAAGGGAATGGTGATGGAGAGGCATTTTCTTACTGCATCACTGCCTTTAGGAACTGTTTTAATTATTGGGGTTAAGGGCGAAATATTCTGGTTCTTAAGGGCAGGCTGCAAGAGGCATCCATTTCCTATGGCCCATATCCAGTAAAGCACTTTAAAAGTTTAGCATGCATAAATTAAGACAACACTTAAATCCCAGTGAAAGCACTGGGATTAAAATACGTGACTAAGCCTAGGCGTTTGTTAAAGCACTCTTTGGCTTGTGATGCCCTTTTTGAACTGAAGCCTTGGTTTTTTTTTCCTGAAGTGCAATTGTTTGGGGATAATATTTATTTTTTGCTTGAAGTATCTGGTAGGCTAAGTTACTTTGCTGTTCTGCTTTATAGCTGTAGTTCTTTGTAATTTACATGTTTTTTGGTTTTGGATGTTGAATAGGTTTGGAAGAAAGGTTTTAAGGTAATTCAAGTAAGGTCAGGCTTCTCTGGCAAAGGAAGAGTTCACATGCTTCAGAAAGGCCAATACAATTCTTCCATTTTCCTTCCCACACTGCAGTCTGACCTGATTTTTGGCACAGCGGAGATCTGAAACCTCCTTGTAGTAGAGGTGGTATTGCTGCATTGCACTATTTAATCCCAGAGGTTACAGAAACCAGTGAACTTTGTACTAATATTGAGATTGTAGGAAGAGGATAGCCAGATACTCCTGGGTAGAATTTTAATGCTCAGTCTAGTTCATCTAGTGCATTGACCTGATGGAGGAGTTCATGTTTTCTGTGCCCAGGATGAGACACTGTTATTCTCTCAAAATGCAGATATTTGAACAGCAGGAGGTATTTGAATGGCGCTGGCTTTTGACTGGCTTGAGCCATTTCCTCTTGCAGTCCAGTCACTGTTCATTCTGGACTGGAGAAGAATCTTCCACAGAAATGGCAGGAGTGAATGTAGCTTGCATATTACATAAAGCTCTGCAGCTACTTCCTCAGTAAAACAGCCTGTGATCTTGAGAGTCCTTACATGGTCTCTTTGGCTGCAGAAGACCATCTGCGCTCTGTAAGTTTTCACTAAGAGATTTCAAGGCAGGTTTAGCTGTCTCTGTAGTCAAAACTTTTGTTCATGCATCAACTACTCTTCCTCTTTCTGTCAGCTAATTAATTGCTTTGGCAGCTCTCACATTAAGCTTCAGGGGTATGTTTACTTTGGTGTATATTCCTGATTATGATAAGCATAATGCATTTCAGTATTACTCCTTGCACAGAATTTTAATTTGGGCAGAGTAAGATCTCGCTTTTTCGAGTGTGGCATTTTGAGGTCCAAGGTGTTTGCTATGAATTGGAGATAGGTTTAGGCTGTCAGGTGTGGGAGGAAGGGTTGGGAATTTTGGGCGTTTGGTTTGTTGTGGTTTTTTTAAAGTTCGACCATCCTTTAAGTTTAGTAATTGCAGTAGTCTAGGAATAGAGTAAGAGCAGCTCCATGATGTGGAAATTAAGCAGTTACTTGATTTCTGAGGTACCATTACTGCAATTTAGTCATACCAGGCTTATTTTAATAGCTAATAGAAAAAAATGCTGTCTCCCATCCTTGTTGCCACGCAGAGCGAGCATGAGGCCAGGATCTGTGGGGGAGTGTGTTACCACAGCGACCAGCCTCCGCACCTGCATCTGCAGCGGATGCAGGAGGAGGTAACTAGGACTTCCCCATCCGTTCTTTACATAGAACCATTTCAGTCATGTGCAAGCACCCTGCTTTCATTTTTCAAAGTCAACTGAAATTAGTATGAAAAGACTTCAACCTGTTAGGCAAATTATTTCCCTACACATAAGATGTTTCCTGAGCTCTTGTATGACTTAATGTGGTGCTTAGGATTTATTTCACCTTTCTCCAGGTGGAGCAGCTCAGCTTTCTGACACCCTGTAAGAGGCTGTCTGCTGGGCACGCATCATAGGACAGCACAGCTTACCCTGTGGAGGTGGGCACCTCCCGCCATTCGGCTGCCCCTCCGTGGCAGAGCTGGCACGGGTCAGGTTCGTTCCCCTCGGAAGGGGCTGGTTTTCAGTGCTGTGCTTATTTAAAGTGCTCCCAAACTCTTCTCTGTTCATGTCCTGTCTCTTCATGCCTGTCTGCTTTCTCCATTCTTTTCCCTTCTGCTGAATGCCAGTAGTACCCATGGTACCTGCCTCACAGGACCAGCTGAGGATTGGGCCAGAAATAGTTAAGAATTGCTTTGAGATTGTCAGAATGTACTACACTGGGTATTTTTTTGGTCTGTAAGTCTTTGAAGGAAGTACAGACTAGCTATGAAATAGACCTGCTGATTCTCAGCTTTGTAGGTTTTGCTTTATGCCTTAGTGATATGCAGCAAACTGCTGCAGACTGTTTCAGTGTTGCAGCTGCCAAGAAAACATGTTGTTTGAAACACCCATTAGATTATCAGCTCTGCTTTTAGTGGAAATAATGGGTTTGTTTTAATCAGAAAATAGCAGAGTTCATGCCAAGCCATTTACCTGTCCTGGCAGGTGGAGAACTGCGCTGTTTGCACATAACATTGTAACCACAGAAGTGATTTGCTGGTGAAAGGTGGGAGTGGGTTTTACAGCACATAAATTGGAGGTAGGACTTGTTACACATTACAGTGGGAAACTCCCTGCTTATTTCTGTCATGCTGCCTTCACTGGCATAATTGTGCAGCCCCCTCATGTTAAAACACACTCTCCTCTGGTAGGATGTATGGAAGCAAACTGTTTGCTAGCTGTGTGCAATATATTTTGTTTGGCTCTTCTGGGGAGTGTTCCTTGTTCCTGTGAGGTCAGATGAGACA